GAGTATTTGAAGGCTCTGCAGGAGTATCTGAGGTGAGGTGACGGTTTTGGGCCTATTTTGAATCTTTGGTGGGGTAACCTGAGATTCAAGTGTTACGGAATTGGGCCTATTTTGAATATTTGGTGGGGTAACCTAAGATTCAAGTTTTACGGAATTGGGCCTGTTTTGAATCTTTGGTGGGGTAACCTAAGATAAGCCTGTTGTAATTTGTCAGAGGATTCATTCAACGTCAACGGCCTATATTTGATCTCGAGAAATTTGAGAAGGAATCTGAGGAGGAATTTCAAGAGAGATGGCAGGTGAGTGTCAAATCGATCACGTGATCGATTTGGATTCCCTTGGTATTTCAGGCCAGATCTGTTCAAGGATGGGGCGCGGGATACACTCGGAATTCGCGTCTTTATTGTCCTCCTACTGATCGCCTCTTTGCCAACGAGAAAGCTCTTGAGGTAATACCTTAATTGGGCCTGATCCGTATCTTGCATGCGGGAACCTAAGATATTTCTCTGCGTAGAATGTTGAAATATATGTTCGCCTTCTTCGGCTGGGTTGAGGAGTTTTCACATTGATTGTATAAATTTGCATAATCATTCGTTTTGAAATCCATGTAGACTAGGAAGAATTCCCTCCAGAATTTTCATATTGGCATCACCAACACATGTAGTTGACATATATCATAAATGGTTATATAATATTCTCCCTTCCACACTGTCCATGCATAGGGTCATAAAAACGGTAAAGAGTTCAAGAAGGCTGCGGAGAAAATGGCGAAGATGCACCCCGCGGAAATTGAGGCTTTGAATAAACTGTCGGAGAAGAAAGATAGGGAGTTGGCTCGACTTGAGGTGAGGAAAAATGAGAAACATGAATTGCTTCGCTCCGCGAGAGATAGTGGTTTTTATCAGGTTATTATACAGAAATATAAGGAGACCTTGGCCGATACTATTGATGATACTGTGCAGTACCTGACGATCCGACAAGCCAGGTGCGGGGGTTGATCCGGGGACCTCTTGGTACAGGGAATCACCTATAATGTTTCCGGGGGAAACTCTCTCACAATTTGAATTTTCCGCGTATGGCTAGGAACACATTCTTCAATCAGCTTCCCATGTAAACATATTAGGAACATTACTCTCAGTGCTGGTTATGAAAGCTAATTGGGTTGGTATAATTTTGTGGCGCGCGGTAGTTTTGTGTGTTAGGACGTTGGACGAGATAGAGACGGATATTTGGTATGAAGAAAACGGCGGTAGGGAGACGTTTGATGACGAGAAGGATGATGTTTGGGATAAGAAGGTGCGTCGCTCCGCTGCAAAATATCATGTTGTGCATGCGTGCAACCATAGTTTGTGTGCTTCGTGAGTAGAATAGGACTATACTCATGCGTACCGGAGATTTAGTGTAGTGGTATAAGTGCGGGCTTTACATCGACACTCCCGGGTTCGAATTTCAGGTGGGTTATTTATATATTTTTCAGGAGCAAGATTCCGACAGCGACTCGGAGGTTTCGGATGATGGAGACAACCGCGCACTGTAAGGAGTATCGCAGGTTGTGCATTGGATATTATATTACATTATTTTTTTTACTACTATATATTCTTTATCACGGCACCAGTGGAGTTTTACGTAAAGTGGCGTCAAAAAGCTCAGTGAAATGCAGTAGTCGTGAAATGTATGTTTTCATATTAATAAGATGGTGAAACTCCATTATTATTAATACCTTTTATTATAATATTGATATTAATGTATCGAGTAGATCATATTATCAAATGTTGGTTGTATATGATGTTCATCTTCTCACAGGTATAACCCTTTGAACCTTCCACTCGGTTGGGACGGCAAGCCGATTCCGTTCTGGTTGTATAAACTCCATGGCTTGGGCAAGCCGTTCAGGTAGATGATGTCGAAATCGATCAGCAGGGCGCGCGCTTTTGTCATGGTGTTGGAATTTAGGTGTGAGATATGCGGCAATTACACGTATTGGGGCCGTAGGGCTTTCGAGCGGCATTTTACTGAGTGGCGACATGCGCATGGGATGAAGTGTTTGAGAATTCCGAATTCTAAACACTTTCATGATATTACCAGAATCGAGGATGCGGTAGGTGGACAGAAACGGACCTGTTTTGAATCTTGTGTGGGGGACCTGAAGATTCGTAGATTACTCTGTATGAGAAGCTGAGAAGAGAGCAAGCGATTCAAGGATTTGATCCCGATACTGATATTGAATGCGAAGATAACATGGGCAATGTTATGAACCAGAGAACGTAAGTCACTATTCGGACCTAATCCGTATCTTGCATGGTCAACCTCTGGATACCAGGTACCAAGATATGCTCAAGCAGGGTCTCATCTAATAATAAACCACTATCCGTACTTGGCTTTATTTTCCGATCGGAGAAGTCTTCATGTCGTGTTGAGTACATAATTTCATAGCTTTACACTCATCCAGAGTGTAAAGGATTATTATACTTTTCATAATAACGAGTCATAGACATAGATCGATATACCCCCCTTGTGGGTATCCCTGTAGTAGATCACAGAAAAGGATGATTGGTACTCATAGTCCTGTTGCTGTGTTGCACACGCAAGTTGCACAGTGTCGTAGTCTACACCTTTTCCCGTGCAAGTTTGACAGTTGAACACACAAGATTGACAATGTTTCATCCAAGAATGACAATGAGGATTCAAGTTTGACACACCTTCAAATTGAACATTCAAGAATATCAATGTGCAATTCAAGTTTGACACCTCGCGAAAATATTCCATTCAAGAATGACAGTATCAAAATCAAGATTGACATAGTAATTTATATTGCATCCAAGAATAACAATATTCGTACCAACTTTGACAATATACGAGCGAGTTTAACAATATGCGTTCAAGTTTGACGTATATTGTCCACACAACCAGTCCGCACAGTGTGCGGACTGGTTGGTCTCTTCTTCCGCATGAGAGTTGAGCTATGTAACGACCGATTGTGTGCTGGTGCTTCAGGGTAGACAGCACGCAACACACAGCACACAATGCGGTGTACCGCACATACCCTAGTAGCCAATGCTCTATGAAGAGCATTTGGTGTATACATCCAGTTGGAGGTAGGAGTGTACCAAGGCTTGGCTTCATCATCAACTTGCAGAGCCTCACTCTTCGTTTTCTACACAGTAAGGACACCCGAAATTCACCTCCCAATATCTTCTCATCGAAGTTAGTCATATGTGAAGGCGAATATCCGCATGGTGTTGGCGATGGCGATATGAAAGTTCTTATTAATTCCTGTGGGTATATCAGTTCGCGACTAGTCCAACACAAAAGACAGTTGGTCTAGAAAGAGTATCACATATCGTCATCAGTCACCTGAGACGGTCATTAATAATAATTAACAAAAGTTGGTATTCCTACCAACCCAGAGAGAGCCTCATCTTCCGATGCGTCCACAGCCGGTTCGAAATCTTGATCGTCGTCGTCATCACTTACAAATTCTTCGTTTCGCAACCGCCATAGAGGGTTTCTGAAAAAAAACTCCGCTCCGCTTGATAATTTCGTGGCGCGCGGTCATACCGACTCATCATCTCATGCAGTTCATTTTGTTCTCGCTCGACTTCGCTTTCTGTCACTTCTACCCTCGTCCCTCGGCGAGATCTGAGGTTGCCTCGAGAAAGATACAAAACAGGTCCGGAAATGTCACCTTTTTGGGATGCGGCCATCATCCCCTCCTGCCAGAGCCGTGAGCCCTATTTGCAAGTCCTGTAGGAGATTCCGTCACGCGCCATGAAATTCATGCCTCACCAAATTGGCATCGTCGTCTTCGTCATCATCATCTGAGCTGCTTGCCGCCGGACGGGAGCCGATCGATGCCGCCTCCTCGGAGGAGCTATCGTGAGATCCACAGTCCGCCATCATAGAATCTTAACAAAGACTATGTGGAATCTTAGGTTCTCGCGTGCAAGATACGAATGAGGTCCAAGAAAGATATTTCTTCGCTGTGCGCAAATACGTATCTTTCTCCCACCTGCATCATCATCATCTTCGTCCTCCTCTTGAAAGGAAGGTGTCGAAGTCGATCGAACAGAACGCTGTTGAAAGTCCAAGATGCCCTCTGTTGCCTGAATGGTCCACTTTCGGGCCTAATCCGTATCTTTCATGCAGCAACCTTGGATTCCTCCAGTATATCAACTGCCCTCTCCACAGCAGCAACGACCGTTCCACACGGATTGTTACCAGCAAGGCCAAGATGCAACTTTTTCGAGGACGATTCCGCCCAGGCCTTCACGTAAATCATCATAAAATCAGCTATATCCAAATCGATCACCTGATCGATATAAGATATTCTTCGCAGTGCGGCGCTCCCCAGCAACTCACTTCCTCACCCTGACCGCGCGCCACGAAATTAATTTGATTATCACTCAAATCTACATCAGTCAACTTCTTCGCCTCAGGCAAGGACATCAAGAGTGTGATGAATCTACCACAGCGTTGAGGAAATGCAAGATTGCAAGATTTCAAGATGTCCACCCATAAGTGGAAATATAATTTCCCATCAAACTGAGGGTCTCCAACTCGGCGAATCCTCCCGAGGCAAGCGACTGCGCTATTGGATAAATGCCAGCGTCAAAGAGACAGTTCTCGTCCAGTTCCAGATGTTGCAGACTCTGAACAAATCGATTACGAGGGCGCGCGCTTTTGACATAATAGAGATACATGCAAGCGCGAACATGTCTGGATGAGGTTGAAGGAAACGCCGTCGAGGGGCATGAAAGGAATCTTTTGGCTGCAACGTTGGCCTCCTCTGGTCATATCTGGCGGAATATGCAAAAACTGTTATATAAAAATAAAAAATCCAAATCGATCAACCGTTTCATCTCACCTAAGATATCTCTACCAATATCATTAATAAAATCCAAACACGGATTCCCCGAGCTGAGCCGACGGTCACCAAGATACTTAGTCGCTTCACAACCAACCTTCTGGAGGGCACCCAAATTGCATTCAGTCATCACCTGCGTTGAGGAAATGCAAGATTGCAAGATTTCCATCACCCGGGAAAATACTGAGGAAATTTCGAGAAAAAATTCTTAATATTCCGTACATGTGTTAGTGATGATGACAATATGAGAAATTTTTGGGGGAAAAATTTGGAAAATTTTTGGGAAAACATATATTCCTCCAACACTGCTTACCAGATTTTTAACTTGCGTAATCCGACCAATAGCAGTAATGAGATGCAGCAGAGCTTCTGAGTATTTTCCTATATAACATCGATCGATCGCTTCTGAGCTCGCATGTTTTCTTTTAGGAACTCTACCGTCGCCCTCTAAAAATGCCGCCGCCGGGAATCGATCCGGAGACCTTTCGATTACGCACTGCTCACCATGAAGGCATCTCGCCAAGTAAACTCGTCGTAGTGTTGAGGGAAGGAAGATGCACTGCTCGAAACGGAGGAATTGTAGTTCGGCAAAGTGCGGGAATATGGATGCGAGGAACTGAAATAGATGGTCTTTCATCGGACCTATTCCGTATCTTTCATGCTGCAACCTAAGATACTCAGTATTTCATCGGACCTATTCCGTATCTTTCATGCTGCAACCTAAGATACTCAGTATTTCATCGGACCTATTCCGTATCTTTCATGCTGCAACCTAAGATACTCAGTATTTCATCGGACCTATTCCGTATCTTTCATGCTGCAACCTAAGATACTCAGTATTTCATCGGACCTATTCCGTATCTTTCATGCTGCAACCTAAGATACTCAGTATTTCATCGGACCTATTCCGTATCTTTCATGCTGCAACCTAAGATACTCAGTATTTCATCGGACCTATTCCGTATCTTTCATGCTGCAACCTAAGATACTCAGTATTTCATCGGACCTATTCCGTATCTTTCATGCTGCAACCTAAGATACTCAGTATTTCATCGGACCTATTCCGTATCTTTCATGCTGCAACCTAAGATACTCAGTATTTCATCGGACCTATTCCGTATCTTTCATGCTGCAACCTAAGATACTCAGTATTTCATCGGACCTATAGCGTATCTTTCATGCTGCAACCTAAGATACTCAGTATTTCATCGGACCTATTCCGTATCTTTCATGCTGCAACCTAAGATACCATCCCAGTGACGTACATGAACGAAAGACGGATCAAGATGGCATCTCTCAAACACTAGGCATCTGACTCGACTCCAACTTGATCGTCGCAAAGTTTCCACCAATCTCAACCAGCACTCGCGACCTCTCTAAAAACGAAAATCGATCAAATGGTCCCCAAGCGGGCCTAATCCGTATCTTGCACGCTCAACCTTAAGATACGCCTTCACCAACTTACAATATTCCGAATCGTTAGATTCTTCAAATTCGCATAATCTTCCAGTCGACGAAAACTACATTCATTTGCATCAGTAAACTGAAAAAATTGCAATTCATGAATCACTTCGCTCCGCTAAGCCTCCTACAGGATTCCTCTCATCCTTTATTAAATTAACATAATCGTTCTCGGCCAGCGTACCGGTCAGCACGCGTGCACACGCTAGAGGATCTACACCAATAACGTACCTGAGGTCCCGGGGTCGATCCCTGGCAGCGACAAATAAGAAATTTTATTCAAAAATTTTCACCACGGAAAACGGAAAATTCACCAAGACTATTTTTCCTGAAAAATATGCACATGTGTTGGTGACGATGATAATATGAGAATTCTGGGAGGAATTCCTTATTCATTTCTGTGAACTCCTGAGCTCAGCTGAGGGAAACATATACATGGTCATCAACTTTATGTGTGGACGATGATGACAATATGAAAATTCTGGGAGGAAATTCTAATTGATTTCTGTAAACTTCGTATGTAAACTCCTGAGGAAAGCGAACATATATTCCTCCAACCCAAAATTTCGGGAAATTCCCGAGAATTTCCAGAAAAAAAACTTAAATTTTGCGGCAAATTTTCACCTCCCTAAAGTGCCCGCGGTCTCAACAGTCGTAGAGGAGGCGTCTAAAACGACACTCTCAATAGCGTCTCTGACGATATCTAAAAACGATGCATGCGGGAGTCGGACCGGGGTGGTATTTTACTGCATAATTTTCGGCAAGTTGGGGAAACTCGAGAGCATCTGAAAAATATGATCTTGCGCATGCGTGCAATATAAAAATTGGTGAAAAAAATTATCAAAAAATCGACGAAAATTAATGAAAATTGTGGCCAGCGTTGGAAGACGTAATTTTTTCCGGAAAATTTCGGGAAATTTTTCATGAATTTTCCCAAAAACTTACAGTTGATCTCTGGAAAGGTAACCAAATACATTCAACCAAATATCGTGATTGAGATCGAACATTACCAAAAAAAAATCAAGTGAAAAAATAGAGATGTATACACTAATAAAATTATGCAAATGTGGCAAAAAATAACAAAAAATAGTGAAAAAAATTTGGAGAATTGTTGAGAAGCGTCAAAAAATTATTGCAAATTGTGAGAAAATTCGTTAAAAACTATCGAAAAAAAATAAAAATTGTGTAAAAATGCGATTGCGATAGAACTCTTGGACTCTCCCACTGTGAATACGGGTCTACGCCACACCCAACCTAATCCGTATCTTACCAACCCAACCTCAAGATACTCCATCGAATTGAAGAACCCAACAAGAACAATAAATTATTGTTCTTATAAATTATTATTGTCAATAATAATGGAGTTTCACCACCCTAGTGATATGAAAAATATATTTCACGACTGCTGCATATCACCGCGAA